TTTTCTCCACATTTATTCATTCAACAGATATCTCTTAAGACCCAACTCTATGCCAGGAATAATTCTAGGCTCCGAAGATACAGAAGGGAACAAAATAAAATTCCCGCCTTCTTGGAGCTTGCATCCTGGTGCATGTGGAAGGGGAAGCAGACCATAAATACATAAGTGTGTAATATGTCAGGTGAGTGTAGGTGACTGTAGAGTAAAAAAAAGCAGGGTAAAGGGGAAGGGTGTGCTGAGGGCAATGATGTGCTGTGGTCCCATGCATGGGCTCTTAAGAGCTAGTTGTATGCGTGTCTTCCCAAGTCAGTGTTCAGTGATATCAGGTTGGCAACTGGTATTGGCCACAGTGGGGGTATTTACAGCACAGAAATTAACAAATGCTAGAAACCAGGACTTTTTTTTTCAGACAGCCAATAGTTAAACATGTACCAGCACATTACTGGGTGAGAGTGAGGGGTTCTATACTCTATAGGGTGATTGGAGAACGCCTCACTGGGCAGAGAAGTGAAGGAATGAGGGAGTGAGCCCTATGGGCATCGGATGTCAAGACGAACAGCATTGCTGGAGGAGGGAACAATTAGACCTTTGACATATAATTGGAGAAAACAAGCAAGCCAATAGAACTGGAACAGTGTGAGATGGAGGGCAGCAGTGGGAGTGGAAATAGGCCAGCTACCTAGGGGCAGAGTTATGTGGAGTCTTGCAGGTTGGGATAAGGGGTGTGATGCATCATAGCAATAATTGGCTAATGCTGAGTAGCAAAACCTGCTTTTAGAAGGACATGTGCTCTTCAGTTTGTAGTAGTCCCCCTTCTCATAACTGTTTCACAAAGCCCACCTGCTTCACTGATGTAAGCTTTCTACTTGGCCTCTCTACGTATATGTATTTCTCACCCTATTCAACAGCATCTCCTTCTCTATATATTATAGCACATATTTTATGTTGCCTTGTTTTGTATTTTATTTATTTTTTAAGTAGGCTCCATGCCCAGTGTGGAGCCCTAGGTGGGGCTTGAATTCACGACCCTGAGATCAATACCTGAGCTGAGATCAAGAGTTGGACACTCACCTGACTGAGCCACCCAGGTGCCCCTGTATTTTATTTTTTAAATCTGTGCAAAGAGTTTTCATAACTGGACTAAAAAAAGACTGCCATTTGTCCTTCTTAGTACCTGGAACAATGCCTTTCATGTGATAGGTACTTAAGACGTGAATGTTGAATAAAATAAGACGAAGACTGTATTTTTGCTGGTACTTTCTCAGGTTGTGCAAACCAATTTCTTTCTGTTTGGTGAAATCCTTGTTTCCTCCCAGCATTCTGAGCCTAAACCTATGATTCAGGTTTCTTTAGCATTTATATATCTTTAACTTATTAGAGTCTACTTTCAAGTGATATTATACCACTTCACACATAGTATAAGAACCTCCCCAAAATAGAATTCTTTTTCTTCCTTCCTGACCTCTGTGCTATTGCTACATTTTACTTTTACACGTATTGTAAACTCTGCACTGGGTTGTTGATGTTTTTGTTTAAATATCAACTATCGGGGCGCCTGGGTGGCTCAGTTGTTATGCACCTGCCTTCGGCTCAGGACACGATCCCGGGGTCCTGGGATCGAGCCCCACATCGGGCTCTCTGCTCTGCGGGAAGCCTGCTTCTCCCTCTCCCACTCCCCCTGCTTGTGTTCCCTCTCTCGCTGTGTCTCTCTCTGTCAAATAAATAAATAAAATCTTTAAAAAAAATAAATAAATATCAACTATCTTTTAAAGAGATTTAAATAACGAGAAAATATGTGTTGTGTGTTTACTCATGTAGTTACTATTTCTGGGCTTATTCTTTTGTGTGGATTCATTCTTCCGCATTTCCATCTGGTGTCATTTTCCTTCTGCCTGAAGGACTTCCTTTAACATTTCTTGTAATGAGGGTCTGCTGATGGAAAGTTATTTCAGCTTTTGTAGGTGTGAAAAAAAGATCTTTATGTTGCCTTTGCTATCTCTTTTCTTAAAGTGGCCAAGTTTCATCAGTTGCTCTGGTATGAGTAGACTCTTGGATTTTAATAAATTATTGTGGTAAAATATACATGATATAAAACTTACAGTTTTAGTCATTTTTAAGCATACAATTCAGTGGCATGAAGTACATTCATATTGTTGTAAAACCATTACCACTATTTCCAGAATTTTCTCATCATCCCCCAACAGAGACTCTACCCATAGGCAATAAACACCCATTCTCTCTTCCCTGCAGCCCCCTGGTGACCTTCATTCTACTTTCTGTCTCTATGAATTTGTCTAGTCTAGATATTTCATATAAGTGGGATCCCGTACTATTTGTCCATTGTGTCTGGCTTATGTCACATAGCATCATGACTTTAAGGTTCATCCATCATGTGACGTGTGTCAGAACTTCTCTAACATGGGGGGATATGTGTGTGTGTGTGAGTTACTGTCTTAGTTCATTCGGGCTGCTAAAACAGAATGCCATAAACTGGGTGGCTTATAAACAGCAGGCATTTTATTTCTCACAGTTCTGGAATCTCGAAGCCCAAGTTCAAGGCAGCAGCAGATTTGGAGGCTGGTAAGGGCCTGCATATTCGTTGATGCTATCTTTTTAGGGCATCCTCACATGGTGGCAAGGGTGAAGGAGTTCTCTGTGATAAAGGCATTAATCCCATTCATGAGGGTTCTATTCTCATTACCTAATCACCTCCCAAAGGCCCCATTTCCAAACACTATCACTGGAAACTCAGTTTTAATACATAAATTTTGTGTGTGGTGGGTGTATGGAAGGATGCAAACACTTGGTCTATACCATTCCATCCCCAGGCCCCTGAATTCATGTCCTTTTCACATGAAAAATACATTCATTCCATTCTAATAACCCCCAAAGTCTAAACTTTTTCAAAAATCAACTCAAAAGTCTAAAGTTCAAAGTCTTATCTAAATATCCTCTAAATCAAAAGTGGGGGAGACTGGAGGTGAGATTAATCCTGAGGCAAATTCTTCTCCAGCTGTGAACCTGTGAAACCAAGCAAATTACGTGTTTCTAAAATACAGTTGTGGGAGAGGTACAGTAGAGACATTTCCACTCCAAAAGAGAGAAATAGGAAAGAAGAAAGGGGTAACAGTTACCAGGTAAGTTCCAAACTTATAGGGGCAAACAACATTAAAACTTAAGGCTTGAGATCATCTTCCTTGACTCCATGCTCTACTTTCTGGACTCACTAGGGCTGTGGCCCTGCCTCCACAGTTCTCCTGAGCTGGAAATCTCATGGGGGTGGCTCTGCCCATCTGCCTCCATGACCTAATCACCTCCCAACCCAACCACCCCTCCAAATGCCATCACATTAGAGACCAGATTTCAACGTATGAATGGGGCGGGGTGTTGGGGGAAGCACATTCGGTCTATAGTAGGTGCATCTTCCAAGGAGATTTTCTGTTGTCAGATTTTATGTTTTCATCTTCATCATTATCATCATCATCAATGAATTACTAAGCCTGAAATAAAGAAAAATCATCCACAAGACCATGCTGTTTGTGTCTTCGCACATTATTCTTGAAGTATGAACGAAGATGCTCAGACAACCAAGTCAGTAAATGCTACCAAGCATGACTGTGAAATAGACTGGTTATCTAGTGAATACATCCGGGAAACACAAACAGTCTAGACAGGCTGGCATGAAAGAGTGATATAAAAATTTCCCAGTCTTGTCATACCTTATAGGAGACAGTTTGAAGGAGACAAACATCTCTTCAGTATTGAATGCAAGCAGCAGCTCTGAGCTCAGTGCCAGGAAAGAGCTTTGTCCACTCCCTGTCCTGGCGGGAGGCTATAGGCTGAGCATATTCCCGTGCTCTCATCATGCCACCCAGCCATAGACATAGGCTCTCCAGAGCTGGAGAAGCCAAATGGTGTAGAGGCTCCCAAGTTGGACAGTTTGGGCTCAGGTTCTGGCTTCATCACTCACTCTGTGGCCTAGAACTAGTTACTGACTTCTCTGAGCCTCAATTTTCTCAACTGTGTAATGGGGTGATATTCATATTTTCCACAAAGGGTGGTTGTGAGGACTAAGTGAGGGAATCAAATCAAAAAACACAGTGCCTGGCATATGTGAAGAGCTCAAGAAATATTAGTTGTGAATCAGGAGGTGATGTTTGAAATGCTCTAAGTGGGAGGGCATGAGTAGAGACCAACCTGAATTGTCAATGCCTGGAGGTCCCTACTGTGCCAGATGTTATGCCTTTAGTAACTGGATGGTGAGCAGGCCCAGGGGTACTGGGGGTAGGGGTGAGGCAGAAAACCTTCGGGAGACTTGAGGGAGCCACTATTAACCAACCGGTGTGGAAGTATTTAAATATTTTAATAACTTGCATGACCATACCCCTGGGTATCAGGCTTGTTTGTTATTCTGGTGATTATTCTTGCAGAGGAGTATTCTTCTGGAGGCATGAATTTGCTCATCATATTAAATAACTTCTTTATGCCGATGACTCACAAATTTACATCTCCAGCCCTCTTCTGCTCTACTGCCTACTTGACATCTCTACTTGGATGTCTTAGGGGCATATCACTCTTAACATTTCCAAAGAATTCTTGATCTCCCCTGCAGAGATTCTCTCCCTCTCTTGTTTTTCTCATCTCAATTAATGGTACCAGGGACCTGGTATATCTTTGATGTCATGATTTCTCCACATATAAGGGGCTCTATTGCAGAATGAGTCGAGTTCAGTGGAGCCAGACAGAACTAGACTCACTCTCAACTTTGTCATTTGTTAGCAATGGCCTTGAGCAAGTCACCAAACCTCCACGACCAAGTCATTTCCCTGCCTAATGAGAAGAAGGACACTGTAGGATTATGGTGTGCATTCAAGGCAGTATATATGAAGTGACCAACACAGAGTCTATGTTTGTTATTAACACTTGATTGATTTCCTGAGTCAGATAAAAGGCCAGGAAACTCCAGGAGAGTCAGCTGGCCAGGAAGCGTGGACTCTTACCTGTTTCATCTCTTCTTCACTCATAAACTCTGACCATCTCTGACCTCGAATCTCTTACGTTGTACTTAAGTCCCTTGTGTTTGCTCAGAGCATCCTTCCTTCAAAATCTTCCCTCCCAACTGTTTCTTTCCAGTGTCTTAATTTCTTCACCTTTAAGTGGAACAGATAGTAGTTTCCATTTATGAGGCTGGAGTGTTTGGAGAGTTAAGAAAATTACCTGAAACTTGGAAATAAACAAAAAGCATTTGCTATGGACTGAATGTTTTCATCTGCTGTGTCCAAATTCACATGTGGAAGCCTTAACTCCCAGTGTGATAGAATCTGGAGATGGGGCCTTTGTGAGGTAATTACGGTTAGATAAGGTCATGAGGGAGGGTGCCCTCACATTGGGATTAGTGCCCTTGTCAGTAGATTCCAGAGAGCTGTCTCTCTCCCTGAATGCACAGAAAGAGCTCACATGAGCACGCAGCAAGGTGACAGTTGTCTACAAGTCAAGAAAACAGAAGAGGCTTCCAAATGAAACCTGCTTTGCTGCCACTTTGATCTTGGACCTACAGCCTCAAGAACTTAAGAAATAAATGTTTGTAGTTTAAGCTGTCAGTCTGTGGCTGATTTGGTCTCTTTTCTTTCACTCAGCATTACGGAGTGTTCTTTCAGTGAAATGTTGCATGTTTCTACCAGGCCCACCCATCTTGGGGATCTAATTTTCCAGGGCGTTTTAGCCTGTTTGACTTCCTATTTGCTACTGATTAGGCAATTTCACAACTCTGTAAAGGTAGAAATTGGCTTAAATCAGAAAACTGATAGCAATGCAAATTACATTTGTTTGGGGGCAAAGCAAATAATTCTCATCCATAAACTAGGTCACCCTAATGGTTACAGTTTATCGACTAGTAGGACACTTACCAGTTTTACAACTACAAGCAAATACATTTCAGCTTTGTATGGACTGTCTGGCTCGAATTCCCTTTTTTTTTTTTTTTTAAAAGATTTTGGTTATTTATTTGACAGAGAAAGACAGTGAGAGAGGGAACACAAGCAGGGGGAGTGGGAGAGGGAGAAGCAGGCTTCCCGCCGAGCAGGGAGCCCGATGCAGGGCTCCATCCCAGGACCCTGTGATCACAACCTGAGCCGAAGGCAGACACTTAACGACTGAGCCACCCAGGCGCCCCTCGAATTCCCTTTTGAACCACTCTTAATATTTTACCTGATCACTCATTCATTAATGAGTTGAATGGAATATTTGACATGTGTTCATTTTGTATTTATATGAGAATCATGTCTTAAACTGTTTTGGAAATTATACTCTAATGGGAGAATTACTGAGTTAGTGTTTAGAGAACATCTCTAGCTAAAATATGTTGTCCCATTCTTTCTAGGGGGGAGGGGGGTGGGGGGATGGGTTAGCCTGGTGATGGGTATTAAAGAGGGAATGTTCTGCGTGGAGCACTGGGTGTTATGCACAAACAATGAATCATGGAACACTACATCAAAAACTAATGATGTAATGTATGGTGATTAACAGAACAATAAAAAAATAAAAAAAATGTCCCATTGATAAGCATTATAAGAAAGAGCCCTTGTAATAGTCAAGATTCCTTCCGAAAGGGGTTCTACCTTTTTTTTTTTTTTTTTGTCATTAAACTTTTGTTTTAATGGGTCTCAAAATTCTGTGACAGATTTTTGGTCAAGTTGTTTCCATTAAAAAGTACTGATTTTAAAAACTAATAAAACTGCCACACACACACACACACACAAAACATGGTCCACAAAACATTCTCCTTTCCTTCTGAAGGTTTTACGATGCATTGTTATCATTAACCAGTCTTTTACTATTAAACTTAAATGGCCAATTGACACAAACAGTTCTGAGACCGTTCTTCCACCACTGATTAAGACTGGAGTGGCGGTATTGGGGATAATATTCATTTAGCCTTCTGAGCTCTCTGGGCAGACTTGGTGACCTTGCCAGCTCCAGCTGCCTTCTTGTCCACTGCTTTGATGACACCCACAGCAACCATCTGTCTCATGTCACGAACAGCAAAATGGCCCAGAGGTGGATAGTCAGAGAAGCTCTCAACACACATAGGCTTGCCAGGAACCATATCAACAATGGCAGCATCACCAGATTTACAAGAACTTGGGACCATCTTCTAGCTTTTTTCCAGATCGACGATCTATTTTCTCCTTCAGCTCAGCAAACTTGCAAGAAATGTGAGCCGTGTGACAATCCAGCACAGGTGCATATCCAGCACTGATTTGGCCTGGATGGTTCAGGATAATCACCTGAGCCGTGAAGCCAGCTGCTTCCATTGGTGGGTGATTTTTGCTGTCACCAGCCACATTGCCACGACGAACATCTTTGACAGATACGTTCTTGACATTGAAGCCCACATTGTCCCCAGGAAGGGGACACTCAGAGCTTCATGGTGCATTTCAACAGACTTTACTTCAGTTGTAACATTGACTGGAGCAAAGGTGACCACCATCCCAGGTTTAAGAACACCAGTCTCGACTCGGCCCACAGGGACAGTACCAATACCACCAATTTTGTAGATGTCCTAGAGAGGCAGACGCAAGGGCTTGTCAGTTGGACGAGTTGGTGGCAGGATGCAATCCAGAGCTTCAAGCAGTGTGGTTCCACTGGCATTCCCATCTATACGGGTGACTTTCCATCCCTTGAACCAAGGCATGTTAGCACTTGGCTCCAGCATGTTGTCACCGTTCCAACCAGAAATTGGCACAAATGCTACTGTGTCGGGGTTGTAGCCAATTTTCTTAATGTAGGTGCTGACTTCCTTAACGATTTCCTCGTATCTCTTCTGGCTGTAGGGTGGCTCAGTGGAATCCATCTTGTTAACACCAACAATTAGTTGTTTTACACCCAGTGTGTAAGCCAGAAGGGCATGCTCACGGGTCTGCCCATTCTTGGAGATACCGGCTTCAAATTCACCAACACCAGCAGCAACAATCAGGACAGCACAGTCAGCCTGAGATGTGCCTGTAATCATGTTTTTGATAAAGTCTCTGTGTCCTGGAGCATCAATGATGGTCACGTAATACTTGCTGGTCTCGAATTTCCACGGGGAGATATCAATGGTGATACCACGTTCACGTTCAGCTTTCAGTTTATCCAAGACCCAGGCATACTTGAAGGAGCCCTTTCCCATCTCAGCAGGCTCCTTCTCAAACTTTTCGATAGTTCTTTTGTCGATCCCACCACATTTGTAGATCAGGTGACCAGTAGTGGTAGACTTGCCCGAATCTATGTGTCCAATGACGACGATGTTGATGTGAGTCTTTTCCTTTCCCATTTTGGTTTAGGTTGAGCGGTGGTTTTCACGACACCTGTGTTCTGGCGGCAAACCCGTTGCGAAAAAGCGGGGTTCTACCTTTCTATTTTATCATTTAGAGTCTTTCACGTACCTTTGTAGCCATATTAGAGATTTTCTTTTGAGTAGTACAGAATGAAAATCTGGGTCATTAAGGCATATTCTCCAACAGGCAATAATGTGGATCAGTTACTTTTTGACTTTTGAAAAATCACCTTTGCATCAATGGTTGTTTCTTTTCAGGGCAAATGAACTTAGATTTGAATTAGATTGAATGTACTGAAATAGGACATTCTGTTCACTGCCAATCTGCTAGAATGCTTAACAGATAAAATGTCACCAGAGTAATTTGTGGTTGTTAAATTTTTTATTTCTCTAGTCCCACAAATTAATGGAAACAAATCAAACGTCAGCCACCCTTCAGGTACCTTATTCCACCCCAGTCAAGCCATGAGATGCCTGTCAGGATAAATTGCAGAGAAAAGTAGTGCTCGGTGACATGGTAAATTATGATGATCTTAGGGTTTTTTTCCCCCTAATTCTTCATCACCAAACTGAATTTATAGGTTTCTATTATGTGTCAGAAAAGAAAGAAATTTGTGAAGTTAAGGTGGGGCAGTCAATTCCTTAATGCTGCATTTCAGGTTTAGGTTATAGAAAGTCTCTGGAGTCAAACTAATGTCAGAGGGTAATTTATTAATTCTGTGTAAAAAGTTCTCTTTACACAAATATAACTGTAGTGACTTCTGGTGATTAATAGTAAATTAGTTCCTCTCACACCCAGGCTATTCTGAACCAGCACATGAACATCATAACTGTCTGTGACCAGAGGCATTTCCAGAGTGATAGCCACGTACTTTCAGTTAAGAACCATAGAGCAGGGGCACCTGGGTGGCTCAGTTGGTTGGGCGACTGCCTTCGGCTCAGGTCATGGTCCTGGAGTCCCGGGATCGAGTCCCGCATCAGGCTCCCTGCTCAGCGGGGAGTCTGCTTCTCCCTCTGACTCCCCCCCTCTCATGTTCTCTCTCTTCCATTCTCTCTCTCTCAAATAAATAAATAAAATCTTTAAAAAAAAAAAAAAGAACCATAGAGCAATGGAAATGTGTTCCCAAAAATATTGTTTCCCATGCAATCTTAGTCATGATCTTCACCTTTACAGAGGTTACATTTTAGAAGACATAATCTTCATAATCACTCAACAAATAATTAAAATTGTGAGGAATGGTCTGGATAGAGTGTCCAGAGGGCTAGGGAATATGACCTCTTCTCTCGGGCTCAGGGCTTCTTATATTTTTCTGTCATAGTCTCTTCCTTTGTCTCTTCTCTTTCATTCAACTGCACTTAGTTATTAAGCAATCTTTAGCCAATGCCTACTACATGATCAGCACTGGGCTGTCTGGGAATTGTGAATGCCCTGATCTTTGATGATTAATAAAAGAGAAACAAAGTCCATAACAAGGATGTCTACACCAGAGGGAATGACAAGGTTGCTAGATACAATGGATATAGCAGATATGTATCAGTTAAGGTACAAAACTCCACCAATTCCATTTGTTATTTGCAGGTAAGAAAGGGAAGAGCCACTCTATGCTGATAGGATACAGAAGAGATTCATGGAGGAGGTAGGGCATGAGCCAGCAAAGAAAGAGGGAGAGAAGGTAGCTCCTGGAGCCCTCCAGGGGTTCAACAACATTTTATTTAACAAACACTGTTCATATGCCTATTATGTGCCAGGAGTTGGTCTAAGTGCTTTAGGAATGCTAACTTCATTTAGTCTTTATAATAACCCTATGAAATAAGTATTATCATGTCCATTTTATAGAGAAGGAGATCCAAAGCACATAGAGGCTAGGAAGCCTGTTCAGATCATGTAGCTGCAAGTGGCAAGTCAGAATTTATACCCGGGAGTTACAACTGGGTAGTAAGGCTCCCCTGTTGTGCTTTTAACCACTATACCCTCCTG